ATATACTTGAGATATATATGAAATATATATGAAGATACTTGAATAAAAAATTGTTTACGTAAAAGCTCAATAACTGCCATTTCCCATACGAAATGCATACGCTGTATTGCATGTATGATGTTACTGAGAGACGTCCCTATGCATGGGGTTTTACATTTGCGGTTTCCCATCCGGCTCGAGCAGTCGGCGCAGTCTCGCAGGAAATAGTCCTGAAGTATCCTAGAGGATACAGGGCTATTGGGTTTCGCGTGGAAAAAAAAACGAGATCGCCGACGGCAGAAAGTGGGTACGAGAAGGGATACGAGGAGACGTGTAAGTGCTCGCACGAAAAATAAAAAGGACCGCGAAGGGGGAAAAGCGAAGTGCACACGCCAAGGACCGGAAATCGGGGCGTTCAACTCTGACACCTAGTATATATTTAGAGATTTAAAGAGACCCGATCTAGTTCGATTTCTAGATCACATCTTTAGATAAATATCTGCCGCGATTAACCGATGATTTCGGTCTTGACAATAATACTGAATCCTTGCAAGTCATTTATTTTCCTGTTCAAAATCATTCCCATCACTTGAAAACACTTCAACGATACGTATTTGATGATAATCGTAATTCGAAAATTCAAAATTATTGCGATTTCAGACTTTGTCGCTGCAAAGGAAATAAAAATACGAACAATCGCGTAGTTCGTCAGCGTTAAAATTATTGCAGATTGTCCATTTGCTTGCAATGCGTAGAAACATGTTATAAAACACGAATAAAATCTTCGTGGAATAAATCCTTGCGAAGTTTGCAAGAGACGACACTTGAAGGGATGTCCGCCTGGCGGACACATCTGCCTATTTATCCCTACGGGGAAAACTCGAAGACGTTTTGCGAAGATATTATTCCGAAGCGGAGCGTATATTAGCGCGGGAGCGAAATTGGACGAAATCATTTACGGGCGTGTTCGAGAGAAATGGACGTTAAATTTGACGTTTAAATCGGCTGGCCGCGTGGCGCCGATAACATCGTCGTTTTTAAAGAAAGCTTAACACTTCCGCGAAGGAAGCCGATCATTTCCTATCTCGTGTTTATTGCACAATCGCGCACGCGATGCCGGCACGGCTCGTATCGGCTCACCCACATATCCGCGCCACAAACTCACGGAATGATCGCCGTCGAGCAACTCGTGCCGTACTCTGCGTATCGTAATACACGCGCGTCACGCCGAGAGTGTAACGATCGAGGGAAATTACTGTAATCGCGGCCTGTCAGAATTTCGCGATTGACTCGCCCGCCCATAAAGTCTTTGCATACTCTTCAGGGCGCGGGGACTTACGCGCGACTTGTCGAAAAGCTTGCACTCGTCGCCTAGAAACCTGGCGCGAGAGCGAAAGCGCTGAATGACGATAATAGTTAAATATCCGGGTACATCCGCTACATTTGCATAGCGCATCTGCACACTTTCCGCATGTCTTTTCCGCATCTTTTGCAACCTATATCTTTGTCTAGACATGTATTAATTTTTGCAAACTTGTGTTCTCGGTACATCTTCATTTGTACGACATTCATTTGTATGAATGTTTCTTGATCAATGGTATTTCGTATCGTTTGAAAAATATTAGCAATGCAGTGAGAGATGTGTTCTCTCTCTCTC